GGTGCTGTAGCGCCGCCCCTCGGCGCTGTGAGACCAACCCAGCAGCACCCCAGCTGCTCTATTGCAGGCATCCCTGATTCAGCTGCTGCTGAAACTGACCAGCAGCGGCTGAATCAGGGGCAGAGCCGGACTATCGTAAGGGGGGGCTATGAGGGGTCTGAGGTGGCATCCCCTCCCACCTCACTCCAGACCCCTCATAGCCCCCCTTTCTGATAGTCTGGCATATCTGATAATCCGGCACCCCCTGGGTCCTAAAGGTGCCGGATTATTGGAAGTTTACTGTATATAGATAAATATTTGAATTTTTTTAATTGTTTGTGTTATCTAATCAGAATTTGAAAGAAAATAGTTCATACAAATGAACTGTATCTTAGCTTTCCATTAACACGGCGGCCGACTTTTTTTTCCTCAATTTTTTTCCCTCGGCTCTTTGCGCTGTATCCATCACTATTTTGGCTCTTTGTCTGTGACGGGTTGGCCATCTTTGCTGTAGGAGATCTTGATTTTTGAGAGTCTGTAACTGGAAATCTAATGAACTGACGACCTTCTACGAGCCACAAGAGTGAAAACTTAGAGGGAAGGGATTTTTATTCACACTGTTTAAAACATTCTGGATTTGTTTTGTTTGTTGCTAATGCTGAATTATCGGTAGTGATTAACATTTGGGGAAAGGAATATCTTTTAGTCAGCACTACACTCCTTGGATTATTCAGAGGGAATTAATACCATATTCTCATGAGACCTACAATGGATCCTTCAGTGAAACCAGGAAATCTGCAGTTGACGTAGATTCCTTCTTAAAAAAAAACCCATCAAGACCTTTTAGTTCTCCTTTATATCTTGGCATAAAAGTGGGAGCATGCTAATAAAAATTGCAGATGACACAAAGTTAGGAGGCATGGCCAATACAGAAGAGGACCAGAATATCGTATGTAAAGATCTGGATGGCCTTGTAAACTGGAGTATTAAAAATCTAATAATGCAAAGTGCAGGGTCATGCATTTAGGGACTAATAGCAAAAATATTTACTATAAGATGAAGATTTATCATTTGGAAGTGACAGGAGAAGGAAGACCTGGGTGTATTGGCTGATCACAGGATGACTCTGATCTGCCACTGATACAGCTGTGAAGAGGGCTAATGCAATCCTAAGATGCATTGGTTGGATATTTCCAGTAGAGAAAGGGAAGTGTAAGTACCATTATACACAAAGCCCTGTTGAGACATCATCTATGGTACTGTGTGCATTTCTGGTCCCCCATGTTTTAGAAAGTTGAATTCAATTCAAGTGCAGAGGAGGACTGCCAGGATGATCCAAAGAATGGAAAATCTACCTTATGAAAGGAGGCTCAGAGCTTGACTTATTTAGCCTAACCAAAAGGTATAAATACGTCAGAGGGATAAATACTAGGGAGGGGAAGGATTTACTTACATTAGTACCAATGTGAGCAGAACAAAAGAATATAAATTCCCATCAACACGTTTAGGCTTGAAATTAGGCAAAGGTTTCTAACCATCAGAGGAGTGAAGTTCTGGCACAGCCTTCCAAGCACAACAGTGGACACACAAATCCTAACTGGCTTTGAGCTTGAGTTTGAAAAGTTGTTGGAGAGGATGGTATGATGGGACTGCCTGCAATGGCATATGGCCCTTCAACAGCTGCTGGTAGCAAAACCCCTTAATGGCTGGAAATGGGACACTAGCTGGGGAGGGTTCTGAGGTACTATTGAGAGTGCTTTCTCAGTAGGATTTGCCAACATACTCAGGGTCTCAAACTTGATTTTTAAGCTATGATTTGATGACTTCAGTAACACAGCCAAATTCCTAACCATTTTAAGGAGGGAGTGGGAGAGGTTCTGTGGTTCTGCAAACATGCAGGTGGAGTCAGATTAGATCAGTGGCGCTCAGTCAGGGATCCAGGACTTCCTAGAGAGCTGTTAGCAGGTTTCAGGGAGTTGCTGAAATAAACCAAAAAGCAGAGCTGGCATTAGAGCAGGGATGGGCAATAATTTTTTTTTGGGGGGGGGGGGGAGGGAGACACTCCAAGAACTTGGAAAGTATTCAAAGGCCTTACTCTTTCACATCAATGAAGGAGGTGTGGGTTCTAGGATGGAGATTGGGTGCAGAAGGGAGCTTGCAGTAAGGGATTGGGGTGCAGGAGAGGGTGTGGGGTCTGGGAGGGAGTCTGGGTAAAAGAGGCAGATGTGACCTGGGTTAGGGGACTAAGGTGCAGAGGTTTGGGTTGTAACCTGTGGCAGAAGACTGGAGTGCAGGAGGGGGTGGAGGGATTTGGGTTGTGACCTGGGGCAGAGGGTTGGAGTGTCAGAAACAGGCCTGTCTGGGACACTTACTTGCTTGACTCCCAGCCAGCAGCCTTCTCAAGCAGACTGCCTACCTGCCCCCAACCCCTACTGGCTTCAGGAGCCATGTGGTTTTTGAACAGCTATGAGCCTGAGGTGAGGGGGGAAGGTGCTTTGCAAGCTGCCTGTTGAAAACAAGGGCAAAAGCCAATGCCCAAGCAACTTAGCTTCATGGGGCCCTTTGTCATGTGGTGCCCTGGGCAATTGCCCTGCATGGTACCCTCTACCACTGACCCTGGTTTTAATTTACTGGATATGCAGAAAAACAGCTGTTGTGCCACAGGTGAGCTGTGGTGCTTTTGTAGTATTTTGGGGATGCCTCCGAATGAAAAAGATTGAGAATCCCTGGACTAGATGATCATGGTGGTCCCATCTGACCTTAAAGCCTGAGTCTATACATCACAATCAAAAAGCATATATGCCCAGTTTTTCAATAATTTTCAGGTTACCTTTGAAATTAACACATGGCTATCAAGGAGTGTTGGTATGAAATGCTTTTGTGGTTTTTAACCACTGAAGTGAACTGTTCAGGGAAAGATTAATGTTTGGAATACCCTTACGCATCATGTGCCATTTGGTTGGTAAATTCATGAACAAGAGGCAGGTAATTATGCATATTTGGAAACTAGCCTTAATCATCCGTCTGACAACCCTAGAAATTCCTGAAATCCTCAACAAATAAACATGGTTTCTACAGAAAGTCGGTGTTGGAAATATCTGCAGTCTAATGTAGTTGTTCAGCTTTCATGAGTATAGGTTAAGGTTTGGCTGGAATTAGCTTGCTTTGATTATGCAGTGATTTTATGTGTGTACACTCACATAATATGAATTGTGAGAGTATTTGTCTATTTAATTATCTTCCCTCAAGTGACTGAGTTTTCTCGGTCCATGTACATTTTGAGTAACTGCCCATCCTCATTTAAGTGGTTAACTGGTAACTGATTAAATGGGATTTTACATCCCTCGGCAGACAGTGTTGCCTCAGTTACACTTGAGTTTTGTTTGGAAGGTTTTCTTTGCAGTCATCAGAGCTACATTTTTAAAATAAAAGCTTTTGTTCTGAAGAGTGACTCTAGGGTAACATCTTCACCCATGGAGAATACAGGGACCTGGCTAAAGCTAATGATGAATTGGATGGGCAGTGAATACTGAAAACTATAAACTTATTTGTCTTAGTACAGTTCTGACTTATGCCTCCTTTTGATTTTGTTCTACATGCTAGGGGCAGCAGGCCAAAACAAACAGCATTCTATCACAAAGAACACAGCCAAGCTGGATCGGGAAACAGAGGAGCTGCACCATGACAGAGTCCCCCTTGAGGTGGGCAAAGTAATCCAGCAGGGCAGACAGAGCAAGGGCCTGACACAAAAGGACTTGGCCACAGTAAGTGCTTATGAGTATCATTTGGTCTCTACTCTTGCTTTTCCTCAGCCCGGCTGGATGCATGTGAGGGAGCTGGGTTGTAAGTGGGGTCAAGTTCACCTGACTATCCACTGGTCAGAAGGCTGTATCATCAAGGGTCAATATAACACCTCCAAACTTTTCAGTGTGCTTGTTAACTAGCAGCTTGTGTGTTGGACCAGGGACATCTGTCTGGAACCTGTGATCAGTCTCTTCGAGAATTGTGAGCTATTTTCTAAGATGAGGTTAAAAAGGCTTCCTGTCTAACTGGCTTAGCTCTGGCATAGTAACTGCTGATGTAGGTTTTCAACACCTTATCTGCCTTTGAGCTTTCAAACAGAAGTGTCTGCCACACTGCAGTTTACAGATGCTCTCCACTATTTTTTTGAGAGAGATTTCTAAGCGAGGAAGATGTTTTTACAGTACAGCTATTATTGGCATGGTAGCATCCAGACAGAGGAAACTTTTGAAAGCCTTATATATTTCTGAGAAGATACATATGGGATGTCTGAGGTTTGGGTTTCTGAAAGTTTACTGTTTGTTGAACTGATATGTTTAAAGCACATCTTCTTTTTAGAAAATCAATGAAAAACCACAAGTTATTGCTGACTATGAATGTGGAAGGGCAATCCCCAACAACCAGGTTCTGGGCAAGATCGAGAGAGCCATTGGTGAGTGTCAGATGCACAGTAGCTATCTAAACCCTCTTCAGTTGGGGAGAGAGGGACGTTGCTGTCGACGAATATTGACATGCAAATTCTTTCCGTTGCACCCCATGTTCTCAAATGCAACAGCATGTGTTGCTTCGCCAGTAGGGTACATGAAAATTTGATGTCAGTGCTGTCTTATGGCTTAGTCTATGGGTGACACGTTACTTCTTAATATTAAGACTGTTTCTGCTAATTCAGAAGCTGGAACTCAGAAGTTTTCAGCCCTCTGCAGGGATTGAAACCTCACATTGGTTCAGTGTCTGGGATTTGCTCTGCCATCCAAAAAAGCAGTACAAGACAGACACCTGAAGGCCTTATGTAAATCAGTCAGGTACTTTGCAAGAAGACAAAGGTTACGTGAATACATTGTGCCATTGGCCAGTAGGATGAGTGCTCAACTCTCTAGTTATACAAAGCCTTCATTTCTAGATATTTGTAATGGCCTATGTGACAGGACAGGTTAAAGGGCTTGATAGAAGGGGAGAAAGGCAGCTGGGGGGGGGGAGCAACAGCCCTCATTAATTAGGTGTAGCTGAGGCAGAGCAGCTGTAAATCAATTAAGGGCCACATGAGCTGACTTCAAACTGCCACTGGACTTCTTTAAAAAGCTTCCCAGTGTCAGAGAGGGAAAAAGAGTGGAGAACGAGTTGAGAGTGGAGGTGGAGAGGAACTAACAGTTGATGAGGAGAATCAGAGGAGCTGAGCAGAATATCATCAACACTGCCAAAGGCTGCACAGGGAGGTGAGGGGCTACGACAGGGAGTGTGTGTAGGCTCCCTTCCCCCCAGGTGGCCAGAAACTTCAGCTGGTGACTGAAGAAGACTATTTACTCAGCCCTGACTGGCCAGGGACGTTGGCCCCCAACACCCCTTTATTTTGCCAAGGGACAGAAGGCCAAATGCTGAGAAAAGGCAAGTGGGACTTGTACCATGGCCCCTAAACTGTGGGATAGTGGGCGGAACAGGGGCCTGGGACCCAGGAGTGGGACTGACCCTGCCACACCTATGACATCTGATGCTAATAGCATCTGAAATGCCTGTTGCAGTGATGCTTAGTTAAAAGAGAAATGCATCTAGGACAACTGACCTTCTCTCTTCCCTCTCTCCCTCGCCCCAAGTATTATTTTTAGGGCAGTGACTCGGCTAATGGCCTATAAGCTACCTGGGCAAGGATCAGTTTTACCAATTACCTCGTTCAGTTGCTTTTCAATTATGTATAAAGCCTGGCCTTTCTTAAATAAATCTTCCATTTTTCCTCCTCTCATTTACTACTTCTGTCATGTAGTGGGTGTCTTCTCTCCCTCTAGCCCACTACAATCACCTTAATTCATTTATTGGGCTGTTTGAGGATTCAGGGTGACAAGTATGTAGGGAGGACTAAAAGTCAAACTACTGAAAGTTGTCTCCTTTGTGTCTCGTTCCAGGCCTTAAGCTACGTGGAAGAGATATTGGAAAACCACTTGAGACTGGCCCCAAAGGGAAATGAAAACAAAGCCTCGAAATCAGTTTGTTCAGACTGATCTCATCTGGCTGGTACTCTTTAACCACCAGAATCTCTCTTCATATTGCCATGAACAAGAGGGTTTCAGACTTGTGGGGGGGAGGGAGGAACCTGCAGAATTTCTGCCTGCTGTAAAAAGGCAAATCTTAAGTGATTTTCCTGATTTTGTTTTTTGTTTTTTTTGTTTTTCCCTGTCTCCTTTCTGGAGTTTGAGGAAATAAACCCAATAAATATTGCATCTAATTTTGCCAGAAAAATGTCTTGGTGTTCTGAACCAGCTAATAAGACATCTGGGTTGGTCTGATGTTGGATGGTTTAATTGGAACAATTTTAGGGGAGGGTGGGTTGTGAGAGTTTAGGAGAGGTGGGGGTTGGTCAGAGTCCATATTTAAAAGGGCTGGTATTGGGCACTATATTGGAATGACTTTGCTTTGTTCCTGCCAGCCTGTTTGAAAGAGCTGTATAATAAAGTTTGTTACCCTTCTGTTGGCTGGTGTGGTCATTTCTAGGGTCTGTTCATTGATGATCGCTCCCCACCCAGCACCTGTTTAGTGCCATGGGACTACATGTAATGGCAAATGGCCGCTGTCACTGAAGCTCAAAAGCCAGAGAGAATACAGGAAGAGTCAGATGTTGCCAGAAGTGAAGAAAGTGGGATGATCTGTATGGACTGGAACAGCAGCCTTGAATCATCTGAAACAAGTCAGGGTGTTGAGTGTGGGCTGAAAGAGTGAGGTCTTCACGCAGTTGGTGACAGACTGAACCAGAAATTAAGTACCTCTGCCCAACATTTTGTACCAAGCTAGTCAAACCCAGTGGAACTGGACAAACTTCTTTTAACCAGAATGGAGCAAATATCCTGAGCTTGCTGGGGCCACAGCTCCAGGTAAATTAGTGTGGGGCCTGGGGAAGGCCAGACGTGCATCATAGAGCCTTTGTGTTATGCTGCAAGAGAGAGACTTGCTGATGCACTTGGCATATTTCTCACCTCCAAGGGAATGCTGAAATGGAACACTTGCCTTCAGGCTTTCTGAATGGTGCTTCTGGAAGTAAGACTTGCAAACGTGCTGGCCTGGAGGCAGAACTAATTGGCTGGCAGCTCTAGCCTGTATTCTGGTTCATATTGCAGGCTTCCTCTTAGCTAAAATGATGCTGTACGTCAGGCTCCACAAATACAACCGTGGGTTGTGCGGAAACCAGCTGTACAAAAAACTTGGGCTTATGCCAACTAATCTTCAAAAGCATGTGGGAAATCTCTAAAGTCTTCAAAATCCCTTTCATGTTCCTTGGTAGGACTCTGCAGTAACCTTGCTCTTCGTTCTCTCTGTTGCTTCTTGGAGCCCATTGGGAATACAGTGCAACCATTTTATTTGCAGGGCTCCTTTTGCCCTGATTTCTTCTCAGCATGTCTTTGATCAGAGGTGTCTGGAGCAATTGGCAGTCAGGCCTGAGTCCTGTCTTTTACCAGCCCCCAAGCCCTGCCCCTTTCTGCTATCACCCTGCCCTCTTCCCCACCATGGTACCCCATCCCCCTGAGCACACTTTTGAGGATCACTATGGGGGCTTGGAGCCATGTGGTGGCAAGTCACACCTCCTTATATTCCCTGTGGGTGGTGGGAGTATGGGTAAAGTGGAGTGAGTGTCCCCACCTGTGTGCACTGCTTCCCCACATGTCTCCAGTGATCTATGTTCTTGGGGAACCAGGTTCCATGGTGGGGGAGAGGCAGGGCTTGGGGACAGGTAATGGAACAGCCCCCTGCTTTGACAATCACTGTGACTGGCTTGTGGACCAGGAGTTTTAGACCCCCTGCCTTTGAGGGAGGCAGAAGAAGGTGTTGAGATTCAGTAAGTGGCTTCCCAAGGTCATGCATGAACTCTAGGAGAGCTGGGACTTGAATCCAAGGCCCTGAGTGTAGCTATTTGACATCCATCTCAAAGTCCAGTTGATGTGCTATCTCCTTGTTGGCCAGTCCTTGGCTGTAAGGAGCATCTAGTAACCAGCAGTTGATCAGTTGCTTTTATTTGAAGATACATACTGACATAGTAAAGGTTGTATAGAATTTACAAGATTGACTAGAATTCTAATCTGATCCTTTCCTAAATAGCTTCTGAGATTGTAAAGAATTTTTTTTATATACAGTGGTATTTGACATAGAATAACATAGTGCCAGATATACCAGTATGCTACGAAAGCACCATTTCTCCCTGACTCCTTGGTGAGTAAGTAATTCTTAGATGTTCACAGCTGCTTTGATGCAATTACCCATGACTAAGATTGGAAGGATTAGATTTATGGTTAAGTACCACTGTGCTGGATAGGAGGGGTACTACCGTTTTCTAGACATAGAATCCTAGAATACTGGAAATGGAAGGGTTCTTCAGAGGTCCAGTCCAATCCCTTGCCCTCACAGCAGGACCAAACACCATCTAGACCGGGGGTGGGCAATAATTTTTGAACAAGTGCAGCTGGAAGGGGCAGAGTCTCAGGTAGAAGGGACATTTATTTAAATAGCAGCAGTTGAAAGGGCTCGTGCCTCACCTGCAGCTCCCAGGCATCACATTCACAGGGGACAGGTGCTGTGAGCACTTACATTTCCTGCTATTTAAAGGTTTCACTGCTCTCAGCCTTGCTGCTAGTGCGTTGCCTGGGAGCAGCAGACACTAGAGCTGTTTCTACTGCTTCTATTTAAAGGGCGTGTGCCTTCCCTAAGGCTTTTGCCTGAGAGTCACGAGGAAGGCATGAGTCGTTTAAAAGGAAGCAGTTGAAAGGGCTTACACATTTCCTGGCTCCCAGGCAAACAGCTAGCATGGGGCTGTAAGCCCTTTCAGTTGCTTCTGTTTAAAGGGTTTGCTCCTGTAGGGTGGCTGCCAGGCAACATAGCTGTCCAGTAGGCTTGAGCCCTTTAAATAGAAGCCGTTAAAAGGGCTCTCAGCTCCTGGCACTACTTGCGTGTTGCCAGGGAGCTGGGACTTGCAAGCCCTTTTAATGGCTTCTGTTTAAAGGGCTCATGCAGTCCCCATGACTGCTAGGCAACACGTTAGGAGGCAGGGCCTGGAACTGCCCTGCTGAGAGGCTTTTGCCCACCCCAGTTCTAGATAATCCCTGAGAGATGTCTATCCAACCTGCTCTGAATCCAGTGACAGGGATTCCACATCTTTCCTAGGCAATTTATTTCAGTGTTTAACCACCCTGACAGGTAGAAAGTTTTTCCTAATGTCCAACCTAAATCTCCCTTGCTGCAATTTAAGCCCCAAGGGAACAATTTCTCTTCCTTCCTTCATGTAACGTCCTTTTAAGTACTTGAAAACTGTTATCCTGTCCCCCCTCAGTCTTCCCTTTTCCAAACTAAACAAACCTGGTTCTTTCAATCTTCTCTTGTAGGTTATGTTTTCTAGATCTTGAATCGTTTGGACCTTCTCCAATCTCTTCACATCTATCATGAAATGTGGTGCCTGGAATTGGATGCAATACTCCCTGTGAGGCCTAATCAGTGCAGCATAGAGTGGAAGAATGACTTACGTCTTGCTCATCACACTCCTTTCCCCCCTCCCCATAGTATTATGCTTTTGACTCATTTAGCTTGTGATCCACTATGACTCCTAGATCTTTCTGCAGTATTCCTTCCTAGATAGTCACTTCCCATTCTGATTGTTCCTTCCTAAGTGGAGTACTATGCTATGATACTTTGCATTTGTTCTATTAAATGTCATCCTGTTTACCTCAGACCCTTTCTTCAGTTGGTCCAGATTATTTTGAATTATGACTCTATCCTCCAAAGCACTTGCAACCCCTCCCAGCTTGATATCATCTGCAAACATAAGTGAACTCTCTATGCCAATATCTAAATTACTAACCTCACTTATTATGCCCTTCCATCATGACACTGAACTATTGATAACTTCTTTCTGAAGATAGCCTACACTGCACAGTCATTTTTGAATAAATTATTCCTGAATAGTTATTCTGAAATAGCACATCTACACTCCAGGGAAGCCTCAAAATTAGTCCGAGGCAGGCTTCCCTAATGTAGATGTGCTATCTCGTCTTAGAGCCCAAGGAGGTGCCCACTTACAGTGGCCCTGGTGAGAGCCAGTTTCAAAATAACAAATGGTGGTGCTACACATGCCTTATTTCAAAATAGCTGTTTTGAAATAAGGTGGTGGTCTTTGTAGAATGAGGTTTACAGAAGTCAGAATAAGCCATCTGTTATTTTGAAATAACGGAATTGCTGTGTAGACACTCGCATAGTTATTTCGGAATAACGGTCATTATTCCAAAATAACTTTGCTGTGAAGATACACCCTGAGACTATTATCCCATCGATTATGCACCCACCTTATAGTAGCCCCATCTAGGTTGTATTTCCTTAGCTTATTTATAAAGAAGGTAATACGAGACCATATCAAATGCTTTATTAATGTCTAGGTGTGATAGATGGCTGATTTGATCTTATGAGCCTTCTCTGTGCAAAGCTTTTACACAGTGTAAGATGGATTTATTTGGGGTTTGTTTTGGTCCCTTTTGGGGGTTGGTTTCCTGGGAGCTAAGTCCTTATAGCTGAGCCCTTCCAGTGCTGAACTGGTTCAATATCTGTGTTGCTCTGCGGGAATGTGGGGAAGGGTAACCCTAACTCTGTGCTTTGGCTGGAGGAGACAAGAACTTCTGGCCCAGCAGGACAGGGTGGTGGGGTGTCCCAGAGGGCAGGAAAGTGGGTCCAAGTGGCATGATCAGCACACCTGAAGACAATCCCAAGGGGATTTTCTGAGAGTCAACCCATCACAGGGTGATACATACCTTGTTTGTATCAGTCTATAAAAGAGGGGGCAGGGAAGATACATCTTTGTCTGCCAGAAGGGCAGTGGAGGAGCCCTGCTACTGACTGAGCAGGTCCGTTGTCTCGCGTGTACATGTATCAGTGTCCCTGCCAAGTCTAGGGGCTGATAGTACAGTGCTTTGTCAGCAGTAGACCTGGCCAAAGGCCTTTCCCCACATATGCAAGTTTTTTTGGGTAGTTTGGTTTGCTAGGCTGGGTTCCTGGGCAGAGCTGGGCCAATATAATGCGTGCGTGCACACACAGCCAACAACAGGTGTCATTGTATTAGAGCTCCCAGCAACTGTGGAAGGGTGGTCTGATGGTTTTGGTATCTGCCTGTCTCTAGCTAACCCTGAAACTCCTGATGGGTGGCACAGGCTGTGGCGATCAAGCTATAACATAGAAAAGAGGGTACCACATGATACTGATAGTCAGTGTGGCTAGTCCTGGCTTCCGAGGGAGCTGCAGGAACTCATCGCTGCTCAGAACTGGCCCACTGTGATGCAAGTGGAACATTCTGCTGTAGCGGCAGTGCCCTGGACAAACAGAGACAAGCAGCAAAGGAAATCCAGATGGAAGCTTTCACAAGTAAGGGCTGCACAAGTCCCACCCAAGTCACAGGTGAGCAGCCAGTCATGGCCCTGGAAGAAACAGAGCCCAACTGGTGACGCTACATCTGAAGTATAATTTGACATTCAATAGTTGAGAGCCTGACAGACCCCTCCCCTTACAGCTCCCTTTGGGGATTTGGTGCTGGTCACTTTGCTCACTCTGCCCAAATGAGAATGTGTCACAATGTTTCATGACTTAGAAGTGCTGCAGCAATTGTTGTCAGTCATCATAGGCTGCAGCATTTCACACCAGGACTTTGTCCAGAGCACAGGGCTACTGCCTGGAGTTCTGAGTATGGGGACCAGGGCGAAGGAGTGGATAGCAGCAAGAACCTTGGCTGATTTCTTTAGCAGCAGGTAGAATCCCGATTGACTTTGCCAAGATATAAGCAAAGCAGCTAGTTGTAACCACTAGGACTTAATAATGCAGGCATTTGTAAGATCCAAACAGGAGAGGGTACAAATGGTCATAGGTGATATCTGTTTTCAACAGATTACATTGCAATGACCTATTTCTGCTGGTTTGATCATTGCAGTGTATCTGGCAGAAGCTTGGATTGTACAACTTAAGCAGTAATATGAAAAACTGAGTGTTCCTATCAAGAGATAAGGGATTCACCTTCTCATAGCAATGAAGTGGAACTTCTCCAATCTGACTGTACTTTCAGGTGAAGGAAATGAATCCATCCTTTCCTGTCAAAGGCTGCTAGCAAGTTTTGTAAGAATAAAGCAATGTACAGAACCAAAGCTGCTGAAAAGTTAGAGAATTATCTACTTGTTCTAGTCAAGGATAAGGAAACTAATTTAGACCAACTAGATTTTAAACAATACAGCTGATTGTACAGCAAGAAAAAAAATACACCAATTCATCGTATGCATTTTATTCACTGTTACAAAATTAATCCAATGACAAATCATTTATATATATTGTCTTACAAAAACACTCTGTCAAACATAGATCTTTGCAGCCGGTCATATCTTGAGGTGCAGGGATGACAGATGCCTGCAGTTTACCGGAAGGAATTACCTGATCTGGCTGATCCATCCTTTTCCGGAGGTAAGAAATATATTACACATTCCCACAATAGTCAATATTTCTGGTCATGTTTTCAGGTGAAAAAAACGTAACCGATGGAAATCTTCATCTCTCTAAAGAGCACAAGAAGTTGCTTTTCTGAATAAAGCAACAAAAACTGATAGCTACTTGTTCAGACATAAGGAAAGCAGATGCTAATTCTAAGATCATAATATCTGCTCATTTTTCCTTTCCAGATAATACTATTAGCTATTCCTACAAAGAAGTAGCACTGAAGTTATTTCAAGGAAAAGTGAAACTAACCACTGCACGAAAATGTGCTTTAACGTCCTCTTACATATCCAGAGATGAGTTGTCGACTGAATTCTAGTTTTGCAGGATGGATCATTGTTGCATACTTATCAAAGGGCAAGAAGAAACAAGTGTAACTGATCATTTCTATCAAGATAAGGAATCTACCTCCTCATAGCCCAAGGCCAGGAATAAAAGGCTCCATTTCTATATTTAGGTGAAAAGGAAAGAAGAGGCTGCTGAATTTAAGGGTAAAATCCAGAGGGAAGAAAAGCATCTTTTATTTCTAGCCGAGATAAAGAAAAGCAGCTAATTTTGTGCTTCAAGTTTTAACCCATGTAGCTTGCCATACTTGTAAGAATCAAAGTCATGCAGTAGAACTTCATAACAAGTAGGTGAGCATTGAAAAGTCTCTAAAAGCCTAATAATCTGGCTGCTAAGGAAGCATCTTCATTGATGACTTCATAGCTGGTAACGAGTAGTAATAATAAATTCAAATCCTGTCTAACATTTAATTGTAGGTTTTTCTACCAGGAAGACGTGAAGGAAAGTGCCGTGCTTGGCAAGAGGTAAGAAATGCTAGACTCCAGATAGCCATGTGCATATCAAGCAGTGTTGATTTTACTTTCAGGTAGAACTGCTGTTGACCTTACTTGTGAAGGGGAGAGTGATTGTTACAGCAGATCACAGATGGAAGGAGACCAGAGAGAGGGCCATTCTGTTCTATAAGGAATTAATACAATGAGCTGAACTGGGCATATCAACTGGTAAGAAATACTAGATCCCCAACAGACATTTTTTTAACATTCAGGTGGAAATGAATGGATCCTCTCCTACTTTCAGATGGGGAAAATGCCACTGATCTGAACTTGGAGGGTGAGAACTTCAGGAAGTTCCTAAAAGATCACTCTCTGCTAAGAGGTAAGGAACTTGCCTCGTAACAATGGAGAAGAATTAACAGATTGGCTGTGTCTACACTGGCATGATTTTCCGCAAATGCTTTTAATGGAAAAGTTTTCCATTAAAAGCATTTGCGGAAGAGAGCGTCTAGATTGGTACGGACAATTTTCCGCAAAAGCACTTTTTGCGGAAAAGCATCCGTGGCCAATCTAGACGCGCTTTTACGCAAAAAAGCCCCGATTGCCATTTTCGCGATTGGGGCTTTTTTGCATAAAACAAATCTGAGCTGTCTACACTGGCCCTTTGGTGCAAAAGGACTTTTGCCTGAATGGGAGCAGCATAGTATTTCCACAAGAAGCACTGATTTCTTACATGAGATTGTCAGCGTTCTTACGGAAATTCAAGCGGCTAGTGTAGACAGCTGGCAAGTTTTTCTGCAAAAGCAACCGCTTTTGCAGAAAAACTTGCCAGTCTAGACACAGCCATTGAGTTTCCTTTTCAGGTGGCAGAAATGCAGCTGGGCTCACCTCAGAGGGACTGAAAGCTAGTATAAGCAGCCACATTGAGAATAAAGGAAGACCTGGCTAACCCTGCAGAGAGGAAAGAAAAGTTGCCTTCCATGACTAGAATGGGAAGATAAAGATAGTCACTTATCACCATCAAGTTTCAAACCAATAATGCAGCAGACTACAAGGAAGTTTTGTTGTATAAGATGCTTCATAATCTATTCTCTTTTGCAACATTTATGGGCCTAATGAGCAACCATTAGGTCAAACTTGGATCCCTACAGTCCTGGCTGTGCTTTTCATGAACTACTTTGTGAAGCTGATTTGCCTTTTCAGGAGATCAGGGATATAAATGCTCAGGATTTTCAAGTACGAATGAATGGATCTGTTCAAAACCATTCCTCGGAGGGTGATTTGTTCTCATAAGATATGAAACCACAGACACTCCAGTTAATAGAGTCACAGAACTGGCTCTGAGGAGAGGTAAGAAGCATTTGGTAAGTGTAACAAATGAGCATACAATCAGCTCCACACATTTGCTAACTTCTGTTGTGCCAAGGGGCTTGTGACAGGTGGTCACACATCTCAGATTCTAAGAGGAGCCAAGAATGATGGCAGACACAAGGGGATTCATCTTTCTCAGGAGGTGAGGAACCTGCTTATCACTTCCCAGATCAGTGGCTGTGATTGTGCTTTCAGATGAAGGAAACACAGCCACTTTGGACAGCATTCAAGAAACAATGTTCAGACGTTGCACAGGCCACCTATTGGCCTAAGAGAAACAGCTGGTTCCATCTGCTGGGCTGCAAGTAGAAGTGAACTTTCAGACAAGAGAGAGGCACTGGGGCTGGCTGCGGGCTCCCAAACTTGCACTGGTGTTGCGGCCAACTCCCTGTTCCTAGCCCCCTGCCCGCAGGACATCTGGGTTTCCCATGGACAGAGGCTTCTCTGGATGTCAGAGCAGCCCCTGCCTGCAGCAGGCTTATGGGGCTGGAGCAGACCCCCAGTCACTGAAGTCAGCTCTGATTACCGGTTAATCACAACCAGCAAGCACCCCGTTTGTGGTGATGCTTACCCGTTAACCTGGTAAGTGATTAACCTTTCACATCCCTAGTATGTAATCATAGTGGCCAGTGGATCCTTGCTTGCATGCACAGGGTCTAACTGATCACTACATTTGGGGTTGGGAAGGAATTATCCTCCAGGGCAGATTGGCTAGAGACTCTGGAGGTTTTTTGCCGCCTTCTGGGGTACTGAGCAAGGACTAGCCCTTTGGGCCATTTGGAATAAAGTCCATCAAAGACAACTTTTGTCTTTTGCATTTTCTGTACACTAGTCCTGTGCCTCGGCCATGCCCACACTCCCAGCCAGGCACCAGGGTATAGTTTTGCCTGCTTCCTGCTCACAGTATCAGTATGGTTCCTCCAGGCATGGAGGGGAAATAGCCAGGTTCCCTGGTCCAGGGGAAAGCAGGAAGCAAGTGACCAGAGAAAACAGTGCTGATTTGAATGAAACAAAGTGGTACAGTCTTCAGAACTCTGTGATAGAATCCATTTTATTTTAGATAAAATCAAGGGGACAGTTCTTCAGTTGGAAAGGGCAACACAAGAGGGGAAACTGGGCGAATAGGGCAGCACTCATGAGCTCTTGAATGTGCTTCCGGAAATTCAGTTACATGGAGTGTATTCATGCTCTTGCTAAGTTCCAAAATGGACTTGTATTCCTCCCTCCAGCTGCCCTTGTTTGTCTCCACTAAAGCTTCCGTTTTAGCCAATGGGCAAAGCAGTTTAAGAGCACTTGGACTGGAAAGTGGCCATGCAGGACCCACTTTCCATTCTGTCATTGCAGCTACAGTACACGGAGGTGCCTACAGTGGGAGGCTGATATCTGGCTCTGCTTCCCCATCTCCTGGCAGTGGAGTTATAGTGACCATGTCCTGGAAAGAAAGGTGAACAGGAATTTGTTGTCACTAGCTCAAGCCCAATCAAATGACATGTACAGCTGGTCCTAGCCAGCCAACTCCAGGAGAGGAGGAAAAGGTGAGTCGGCTGCTGCTTCTACACCCCCTACTCCTGTGGCATGAAGAACATGAAGCAGCACTGGCATGTGCAGCGTCCACCACCACGTCCCGCTCTCCTCCAAAGAGGAGGCATTGCATGACCTGCTTTCTTGCCACATGGGCACAAAGCTGAGCAGCCCCCCTTCTTGAAATGCTGGCAAACTGGCCCTCCTCCCCCAGCAGTTTCTAGTCCTGCGTACTGCCCAGTGAAAGAACTGGTAGAGGGGTCCAGAACTGGTGCTGTTGGACACACATTCTCTTCCTAGTGCCCCTGATGCTCAAACTCCAAAGGCAGCAGCTGGCCAAATTAGCAAAGCCCCTAATGGGCCCTCTTTTCCACCCCTCCGCCCAGCCCAAGCAGTGGCTTCCTTACGTCTCTAAAAGTGATGTTGTCAAAGCCTTGGCTAATGCCTCTCTCCTCCAGGATCCTGCCTGCTGCTCCCCTCTGCTGCTGCCAGTAGCAGGTGCTGGCAGCTAGCAGCAGGAGCAATACAATGGCCAGGAGCGTGCCAATCACCAGAGCTGCCACTGAGCCGTTGGTAGGCTTCCCATCTGCAAGCAGAAACAATGGTGAGCACAATGGAAGATGGCTGCCAGGTCAGAACCCTGTGCGCCTCAGCACCTGGTTTCGGGGAATCAGTCTGTATCAGGTGGGCCATGGCAGTTGGCTCCCAACAGTCCTGTCACCTGAGCAGAAGCCTGCCCAGCGTAGGCATCCTGAGCCCTGTCTGACTCCACCAGCTCTGAGATGAGGGCCAGCAGGAACTTGCTGCCTGTGCTAACTTTTAACCTCCCATCCTGGTATTCTCACCCCAGGCCTTCTCCGGGGGAGCCTGAACTGGAGAGCAGGGACACTAGCTCCAGCACAGGATCCCCCCACCCTCTCACTCTGAGCAGGCACCGTCACCTGCTTTCCCTGCTGCTGGCCTTGCTTTCTTTCCTTGCTCCCCCCATACACCAGAGCACTGCCCCAGTTCCTCCTCTTGGTCCGTGCCAGCGTGGCCTCCCCAGTACAGGGAGAGATGATTCCTGCGCTCCAGGCCAAGCTCTTCCTCTACTGTCCAATACAAAGTGGGGTGATTGATTCACTTCTCTGCCAGATCCCGACTCCACCCCATGCAAGGGGCTTGCACCAGGGGGAGGCACTGCAGTAGGGCCCAGCTGCTCCCACCTTTGGCTGGGTGGGATTTGGCCTCACCTTCCATCTGTCCCAGCCCGTCTCCACGACAGCCCACTCCAGTACGGTACGTGATGTCATCCACAGCAATGGTCCCCCCAGCAGGCCCCGCACCACTGGCCACTTCAAAGACAATCTGCAGGGTGGGCGGGGAACCCCCCTGAGGCTCAGTGCAGAGGAGCAAGAGGGGAGAGGAGACGTCTCCTTGCAGGGAGATGTTAGCCCCAGCATGGGGTGGCTCCAGAGGAAGGGACACTGGGCTGCACACAACCCAGGAGAGAGTATGGAGCCTGGAGGGCGAGCCCTGCGCCCCGGAGTAAGGCTGCCAACTCTGAACAAAACATAACAAGGCTCCAGTCTGATCCTGACCCTTCTCCAAGGCTCGGCCCTGCCCTCCCCCCTCAGTCGCTTGTGTGAGGTGCAGGCTACTGGATGAAGTTTGGTGGGGGGGGTGGCAGATCTGGGAGGGAGCTCGGGTGCAGGGGAGTTTCTGCCTTAGGGCAGAGCGAGTGGGGTCAGGAGGGAGATCAGGATGTAGGCTCTGTCTCGGTGGCACTTCCCTCAGGCCACTCCTAGCAGCAGCACAGCAGGGCTTAGGAAGGCTCCCTGCCTGCCCTGGCTCTGGGCTGCGCCCAGAAGTGGCAGCTGGGTCTGGCTCCTAGACAGCAGCGTGGTTAGGTGGCTGTGCCCAGCTAATGGGAGCTGTGGAGTTGGCACTCGGGAGGGTGGGGATGGGGTAGGGTATGGAGTCCCTCTCTTCAGGGTCTGCAGGGACATGCCAGCCACTTCTGGAAACTGCACAGAGCTAGGGCAGGCAGGGAGCCTGCTGTGCCACCCACCAGATCTTTAACATCCCAGTCGTGCCCCAGAGCCAGCCAGTGGCAATCCTAACCCCCAAGGCAAGAGCATCTTGAGCCTGGGGGCTACAGACAATTGGCCTTGGCAGGACCTCAGCTCAATGTGCTCATCTGCCATTGGACTCCCATCTTGTGCCTGTCTTTTCTGTAAACTGCTGAGGCATCCCCATCAACTGGAAAGGAGCTGTGACATCACTACCAGACCCCACAATTCAGCACCTGGCTGGAGGCCTGGAAAGCAAAGGATTGACCTGGGAAAGAGGTGGGAGGCGGGAAAGAAGGCCAAAGCCTGGCCGTGTATGGTAGCCTGGGAGATGCTGCATTCCATCAGGGTGACATTGGTGTATAGAATTTAGCCTGGAGCTCCTTTACGAGGTAACTAGCTTTGATCTGTGCGCAATTCTGAAAACTTCCACACGGTGTGCAGCGGCGGTCAAAAAGGCAAATAGGATGCTAGGAATTATTAGGAAAGGGATAGAAAATAAGACCCAGAATCTCTTACTGTCCCTGTATAAAACTATGGGACGCCCACATCTTGAATACTGTGTACAGATGTGGTCTCCTCACCTCAAAAAAGATATTTTGGCCTTGGAAAGGGTTCAGAAAAGGGCAACTAAAATGATTAGAGGTTTGGAACGGGTCCCATATGAGGAGAGGTTAAAGCGACTGGGACTTTTCAGTTTAGAAAAGAGGAGACTGAGGGGGGATATGATAGAGGTCTATAAAATCATGAGTGGTGTGGAGAGGGCCGATAAAGAAAAGTTATTAGTTCCCTAAATAGAAGAACTAGAGGACACCAAATGAAATTAATGGGTAGCAGGTTTAAAATGAATAAAAGAAAGTTCTTCTTCACACAGCGTGTAGTCAACCTGTGGAACTCCTTGCCAGAGGAGGCTGTGAAGGCTAGGACTATAATAGAGTTTAAAGAGAAGCTAGATAATTTCATGGAGGTTAGGTCCATAAAAGGCTATTAGCCAGGGGATAAAATGGTGTCCTTGGCCTCTGTTTGTCAGAGGCTGGAGAGGGATGGCAGGAGACAAATCGCTTGATCATTGTCTTCGGTCCACCCCCTCTGGGGCACCTGGTGCTGGCCACTGTCGGCAGACAGGACACTGGGCTAGAAGGACCTTTGGTCTGACCCCGTACGGCCGTTCTTATGTTCTTATGTAATTCTGTGCCATTACAATCACTTCAACTCTCTGTTTGATACGTTGCCAGTGTGGTTTGAGTGAAGTGCATGAAAAAAATCTTAGCTCAGTTTATAAAAACTTGTTCATGCCTCACCACAATGGTCTGGGAAAGGGCCGGGGGGGGGAGGGGAGCATGGACTGGGTAATAAATGTACCTTGGTCAGGCTTCTTGAGCAGGGCAGAAAGTGACGCGCTAGAGTCCCAGGCTGCAGGGATGGTCTGG